AGTGTTGTGCTCATGAACACATCCCTGGGGGAGGGGACACCTTCAGCTTGGACAAAAAGTCCGGGGACAGGGAGAGCACTTATTAACCCGAAACGGAAATTGCCTGTCAGTTAAAAAGTTTCTTAAGGAAGAGATGGTAGATTGCCTCGATAGGGCCCTAAGGAGTGGGTTGGGCCTAAATATTATACCTCCCAAGTTGTTGTTCATATGCCTTCTCAAGGTCAAAAAATATGGCAATAACTGAGTGGTTATTCGCAAAGGCATTACGAAACATACGGTATCCAAGCGCAGTAAGGGGTCTTGGTAGAACGGTCCCTTACGTAAGCCATATTGACGATGGAAGAAGACTGTTTAGTGTGTCTCTAATGCCACACTAAACGTCTATATTACAGACGTTTCCATTACTTTGGCAAAATGCACTGGCTAAGAGCAATGGGACGATGTGGGAGGTTATGTCCCGTAGTGCCTGTTTGCGGATAGGGGAGAACAATGGCGGATTTCACAGCTGTGGAAGAAACTCCTTGTTGACCAAAATAAGTTGGTAAAGGTGTAATAGGACGCAAGGGCTGACTGATGTAAATGTTGTAGCACACGAATATGATTGTGCGTCGGGCCCAGCTGCCGCATGATCGAAAGCTGAGAGTGTTTGCCCCAGTTCTTGAAGTTGGTAAAAGCACATTATACGTTCTTCTCTGAGAGAAGGAAAAGTCCAAGGGTGCTAACTCTCTGGCAGACTTTGAGGGAAAGAAAAGAAAATGAGAGGGGCATAGATGGGTCCCCTGAGAAATTACGGACCAGAGGTTGCCAATTCATTGGGCCAACTTCTAGTGGGGTTTGCTATTCAACACGGCACCGCAGAACAGGAGCCGGGTCAGGACAATATTTACACCTCAGTTTTCGTACTTTTTTCCAGACTGCACTCATAGAGGAAGCAGAGGTGATGAGTGGGAGACATAATCTCGCCCAGAGCAAGTGCGTTTAGGTCACGGATGACACGGCGACGCGAATCGCACGCTTCTGTTTAAAATCAAGGAGTCGCTCTGTGGTTCTTTTGTACGGTTATCCTGCCCATGCAGAGCAGTTCAACGTTCTGCACGAGCAGAGCACAAGCAGGAGGACCACCAATGGCACGCATTTCTGAGAATGCCTGCCCGAAGTTTGGGGTTTATAGATGGAGAAGCTGCGGTGAAAACGGAGGACGAGAAGAGGTGTAAAAGCTCATCGATGGAGGGACGAAAGAAGGAACCTTCTTTAAACAAACAGTCAGGTTGTGAGAAAAGGTTTCCAATTGCCCAATTAAATTGCCAGCGTGGGGTGCGAAGAAGTGGCGAATATGCTTAATCAGTTCGGGACATTCATATGTAGTAAGAAGGATTGGGGGGAAATGATCACTGTATGTAAGTCGGGGAGAACAGACCAAGTAAGTAAAAGTCTAATGCGGCGGAGGAAGAGCAAACTAGAGAGATCGATGCAAGAGGAGGTATGAGTCCGAGGATCAAAATTGGGTGTGAGTACCTGTATTTAAAACATGGAGGGGCGTGGGTGGCCAAGGGAAAAGCCTCTAACTGAGAATTCCTCGGGAATCACAGTGAGACCCTCCCCAGAAGGAAATGTGTGCATTAAAATCCACCAGTAACAGGAATCGGTGGTGGCGGTTTGGTAATGACGAAACAAGGAAGGCAACAAAAACCGGATTAGATAATGCCCTGAGAAGGCGTGAGTATAAAGAACAGAGGTTATACCACCATATGTAAGTGGATACGGGCTGCTGTGTATAATTGCAGCGAAGTACTATGACAAATAGTGATGGTACGGAATATCAGTTGACGGAGATGAAGGGCACTTCATTAAAGGTCCCATCAGGAAAGGGATCTGAAAGAATACATAAATTATAGCTGAGATGTGAGAAATACAGCAGAGTGTAATTGGGTTCCTGTAAGCAAACACCAACAGGGGCCAAACTGGGAGCTAGTAACATCTGAAGCTCACCCCGAATTTACCCCTGAGGCCGCGTATATTCCACTGTAAAAAGGAATGTTGGCATTGATAAAGATACTGAAATCCGCAGGTAAGGGTTTCCTACGGACTTGAAGGGTTAGAAAAGTCAACATGCGGGAGTGCAGTGGAAAAGTTCAAGCAGCGAAGGAACGGTGCGCTGTGAAGATAGGAGTTGCGCAGATGGAGCAGAGGAGGAGAGGAAGAGCGGAGAAGGTTGCGATTCAGTGTCCATTGAGGTTTGGTCTCTGCAATATATTCAGATGATTGCCTTCAAGTGTTTTCGGGAATTCAGAGATGTCGTTATGGGAAGAGTAATATTGGAAATGGTAGGGGGAGGATGAGTAAAGATTGAAAACTGTATTTGGACTTACCAAGTAGGGGGGGGCGAAAGGGTGGAGGGAACTGGGAAGAAGCGTGGAGGGGACAGAAGAGACAATGAACCTGGGAGGTGGCAGAAGAGGAAAAGAAAAACTTGGGAGGGGGAAAGGCGAGGTAGGTCCACATTACTGAGGAAGGAGGGGTGAACCTCTGCCACTTGTAACTGAGCCAGTGAGAGGGGAAGCAACTAGGGACAGAGACAGGGTGGGTAAAATGAGCGAGGTGAATCATGGGTTAGGAGGTGTTTACCGGACCTTTTTTTGACTTTGAGAAGTAGAGGGACGATTGGGAAGAAGGTGTCGTAACGGGAGGTCTCGTCGATACTGAGGCTTTGTAATGAGAGAACTCGAAGAAGAAGCGAGATTAGCTGAGGCGTTGTGCAAAAAGTAGGGACGTCTGAGCCGCAGGACACAAAAAGGATTAGATACAGGAGTGATTATGGGAGAGAGAGGTATCCACGAGGTGGGTGTAGAATGATGGGATACCAGAAGTGGGGGGACGTTTTGAAACACGGGAATAAGAAACACGTGGGGAGATTCCCTTGGAGGCGGAGATGAGAAACTGCCATGGCATAAGGTAGACCTTCTGTCTCTTTGAGGTAAACGGAGTTTCCGCTGTTTAATAGCCTGACACGGCGAGAGTTCGAAGGGTGAGCCTCTGACAGTTAAGGTCAAGAGGTGAGGATCGATTGCAAAGCGTATTGATTGGTCAATCGGCAACCACAGACGGGGCATTCGGCGATAGATCTGCAATATTTCGCTGGATGGCCAAATCGCCCAGCAAATTCTACACTGTTGTGGTGTAGGGATCACCTTTCTTAGAACTTTGTAACGATGTCCTGCTATATAAACGGAGGATTGGGAGTTCTCGGGCTGTCAAAAGTTAAAAGAAGCCACATTGCTAGGTATGTCTCCGCCCACGGGCAGGAAGAACGTAAGTGTCTACCTTGGGATAGGGGATCTTGGAGTTCCAGCTGTTCTAGAATGTCGGGTTTGCCCCATGTCTGGAAATTTTGTTGTTTGAACCTATGGTTATGCGGGCAGAATACCAGTACCACCTACAAGGATTGAGGGAATGATGTTTTCAAGGGTGACAGGAACGTATCTATATGGGTAAGACGAGAGAGCTCACGAGCCTGGGTAGCATATTCTGTACAGGGTAATGGATGCGCGACCGCTCTTAAGAGCATTGAAAAGAAATTCTTTACCAACATGCGTAGTAGTTGCCTTGCCAATACTATGGTCAGAAAGATTAGGCAAGTAGAGGAAGTTGGTCGTTAAAGTGAAGAGAATTTAGTCCACTGTTCATCTGAAAACTTGAGCGTGGAAAGGTAGTGAAGGAGTGTCGATCGTTTCTGAGAAGAACGAGAAGGTGAAGGTGGGAGTAATCATCAGCGGTAATTGTCGTTGAACGTTAGGGCGTGGGACCAGAGTTGGTCCGACGTGGACGGATCGGCGATTTGAAAATTGCCGCACCGTAGGGGACGCCGAGGCCGGAAAAAAATAAGCATAGTCAGAGGAGAGCGAAAGGTCGATTAATCGAAGGAGGTCAGTCGAGGCCTCAGTACCTGAGCGGCGTGAGGAAACAGCACCGGCCAATAGGTACTGAGGCATGAGGAATTGTCTGAAGAGTGGTCCATAGAGGGTGGGGGAAGCGGGCGTACAGAACGGGTGGTGCGGTATCCAAGAAGGGGCCGGGGGTGGTGGGGGGGTGGGGCGGGGGGGGGGGTACCAGGTTCATGGACTAGGGGACTGCCATGGTTAGGTTACTTCTTTCTTTTTTGTTTTAAGAAATAAAAAGAAAGAAGAAAATAAAAAATTAAAAAAAAAGAACAAAAAAAAAAGGGGGGACCGGGGAGGGATAGTTCCTAGGAGGGTTGAAAGGGCCATGAAATCTCCCTCCGCGACCCAAGAGGACTCGACACCGCTAGTAGCGCCTGATGCAAGCATGGACCGTGCCATACCCTACCCTTTCATGAAGTAAACCAGCCAATCGGGGATAGCAAAACTACATCTGCCGTGCTACCTCGGTGGACCAAAAGAGAGGGCGGCCGGATATCCGCCACAAAGCATCCCTCCTTCACCACCCCCCCCGAATCCGGAAAGGTGGCTTCCAGAGCTACACCCTTTCGCCCAAAAGACCCCCAAAGCTACTCCGGATACCGGAGAGGGATCGGGACATCCCTAGGCAATCCAGATTCCACGGCAAACTACGCCACCCAAGAAACCTCAACGGAATGGGATGGCCCCCGGTTTTGTCCCCTTTCTCCTACCTAGGAACTAGCGGCCTGTGGGAGAAACCCCAAAGGCAAAAAGAGGAAGGGCAAAAGGGAGGAGTGGGGAGGAGGAGGAGGAAAGGAAAAAGGGGAGGATGGGGAGGATGGGATAGGGGAGGGGAGATTGGGGGGTAATTAGGTTCGGTCTGAGGAAGAAGACCGATAGGTCTAATTCCTCAGACCAAGAGCCTCTTCACCACGCCAAGGAGCCCCCCTTGAAGAGGGGGAACTTGCACAGCAGTTTCATCTGCAAGCAAGAGTTGTTTTACATGTCAATTACTTTACAATTATTTTTGCAAACATTGTAGTTCAGACTATGATTGGAGTTTAGGGAAAGCAAATAACTATAATAGATGTTAAGTTTATTGACCTGGTAGAAATGGAAGGCAACAAATGCTCAAGACAGCAGTATAAGAGGCTATTATATAAAATAAATTTGAGATCCAAAATAGCAGCATTTAAGATCAAAACATAGCATAAATAATATATCCTCTGGGTAAGGAAATTAAAAGTAAATGTCACTTATCAAGCTTGACTAAACAATTCTGACAAGCAAAAGGTAATACACTGAAGACAGGTGTCCTTAAGACCAAACTAGAACACATCCATAGCTGGTATGCATGTAAGAAAATTTACATCCTTAGTCAAGCCATAAATGCCAAATGTTCTGGAACGAAAAAACACTCATACTGTACTTGAAACACATTTCGTAAGGCTAGAGTTCCAGGGAAAACAAAATTCCATAACCCATTTAGACTAGGCTATTAATGCCAAAATATGGTTCTAAGTACAACTTAAAACATGAAGCTACCACAAAAATTATACTATCTGGCATAAACATTTAAAACACAATTTACTAGTAAACTATGTAAGTCAGCAACAACTTAAACATATCCCTAAAATTTATTTTTCAGGTAATATTTGCCGGCCTAAGACAAATATGGGCCAAAATTTGCAATGTTTACAAAGAACACTTCTTAAATTATGAAGATACTTGTATCAGCATAAATATATAACATTATTAATATCACTAAAATACAAAATGTTCTTGGAATGTTCTCAGTAATCGTAAAAGTAAGGGGCAGTGTAATATACTATCGTCAAATTCATGATCGTGATGTTACCATGTTCAGAGAGCAACACGTGCAGCTTTATTTTTTTTTTCTTTTTAAGTGGTATGAGAAAGTATTCAATTCAGTAAAAAGTTCAACTGGAAAAATAACCTTACACTTCTGTAAAATTTAAACAATTTATGAGTATGAAATGTTGGTCACAACTTTTTCATGTACGTACACCTTTTCTTTTTTTTTTTACTATTTCAAAATGAAATTATTTATGCCACGAGAAAATAATATAGTGGATAACACTAATGCCCACCAGTTTTGCAAACCATTTGAATTTCAAAATAAGGCTTTCACTAATATAAGTAGGACAGTAATCACTGGGTAACTACACTGTAATTCGGCCTTGTGCCATATCAGTTTTTCTTTTATATGGCAAGCCTGCATACAAAATAAGCAATCTGTACAATCTACCTGCTGTATAGCCCTTGTGGCTTAGCGCTTCTTTTTGATTATAATAATAATGTACAATCTACCATCATGTTAACCCTTTCACTGTCTAGACCCCCAAAATTAATATTGCTACCAGTGTCCACTTAAAAAAAAAGTTCTTTTGAAATGGTAAATCTTTTTCTGAAGGTAATAACACCAAAAATACGAAATCTGATGGAAAACTCATGGAATTATGCAGGCGCAGAGTTATTATGCAATAGCAATTTTGCCATCTTTAAATCCTATATTAAGTCGATTCCGCTGCTCCACTCTACTAAATTCTTAGCTATTTTGCAAGTGTGCTTTCTCTTCTATCGAATGAGCACAAGATACAACCAATTCCACTATTACAACTACCTTATAAAGTGCACAGAAGTCGGTAATTTGGCCAATTTTACACAAATTTCAAAAAACACCTATTTAAAAATGTGCAAAATAAACCATAAAGACATTCCTGGCACTAAACCATTTGCTCTGTTCATTTATCACATCCTCAGGCCCCTCCTCTATTACACTTGCCTTCCATTTTGAATTCATAATCACACAAAAATATTTACTCCATTTCCTGGATAATAAAATATAATCAGGAATGATTTGTCGTGGATTATGGCTCTAATAATTTAATCAAGAGCTATTAAAAGCTGACAAAACAGACTGGGAGGTGCAGGAGGGGCCTGACCCTTTATTAGGAAAATCGGTAAAAAATAAATATTTCCACTATTTTGAGCCCGATTTCAAGCTACTTCTGGTCCTGAACCAACCAAAATTATTTCTTTCAGTATTATGTCTTCCATTTTATCAAATGATACCAAGATATAGCCAATAAAACCCTATTATTATTATTATTATTATCAAAAAGAAGCCCTAAGCCACAAGGGCTATACAGCAATAAAACCCTAGAAAGCAACTCAAATTCACTATTGTAAACCAAACATCAGTGTTTTGCTTTTCCCCATGTAATGCATTGGGCAGGTTTTTTTTTTTTTTTTTTATACTGTACACACTCGCTATACAGACTCATTCTCTCGTATCTAGGCCAAAATTTACCACTCATCTTAGCTGAGCGAGCTGTGCTCATAACGTAGAACTACACGAGGGACCTTGGCGTCAATGACGTAGTTCTAAGTGATGGCCACTGAAAGGGTTAAAGGCAAGTGAAGAATACTTCCTTGCTCATCATCTGTACTTCCTATTTCAAATGATTATGTCTACTATAGCTAATCTCAAGTGATGTATCACTACTGACCCATTATATCACCCATCTGTATTACCTCAACTGCATTTAGATAATTCTATCGAGGTTGGTTTTCTCGCCCTAATGTACAAGATATGCAATCTGAGAGCCTCAACTCTACACCTAATAAAATTTAATGGGAGTAACTAAGATAATGAGCTGCCTGTCTAAGTTACTTCTGTGAACTATATTTCTATTTAAACTCTTTATAAAAATGTACAAATAGTTTATTTTAATATTTCTCTTAACATAGAAAAATATAAACTAATGCTTATAGATAAGTACATGACATGAAAGCACTATTAAGCAAATTTTTAGTGTATTATATTACTTTTTGTATTAACTGATTTTTTTTTATTTGCCCAAGCTTAGGCGGCCTTCATGAAGATCCTTGAGTGCATGATCATATCTGGGAGTACAATACAGCAAAAGAATAGGTTACAAATTCACTTCAGTTAGCTCTTTCTTGACATGAGACTGTTTTAATTACAAATTATATAACCCCAAACTCTTAACTATGCATCCTACAAGTCAAAATATCCGAGACTGCAAGAGAATAACAATTAGGAGTTCAAGACTGCAAGTAAAATTTCTTAATATGCATCCGCTTATTTCTTTGACAAAAATGTTGAAAATTTTCACCTGCATTAGTCCAGATGGCCAATTCTTGCAAAGAGAAATACTAGCATTTTAAAGTAAATTTGGAAATACACAAAAAGGCAACATGCAGTTGTAACACCACCTTACCCCAGGACCCCAAATCTCATTCCAAATAAGCGTGCTAAAGATTATATACATAAAAAAAAATGCATTTATCAGCTGGGATTATATGATGTACAGCCAATTTGTTAAAAAAAATGTCAATGAAGGAAATAAATTATGCATTTATTAAATATGTATAGATGGCATGTAATTCTGTACACATTCTGAAATACTGATCCACTGTATCAAAACCAAACTTCAGGCTAGTACAGTAATAAGAGGATACTGACCTAACAACAAATATACATTTCATCACTAGTACTTAAAAGCTAATTTAGAGAAGAGATTCACAATGCTATAAAAAAAAAAAAAAAAAAACTCCAATGTGTGTGTGTGTTTATTTTATATATAATATAATAATATATATATATATATATATATATATATAATATATATATATATATTATATATATATATATATATATATATATATATATATTATTATATATTTAGCAATTTTATGTATGTATGTAACCATTTGAAGTTCTTTCCATTAACCCATGGATGGCTCATGTTCAAAATCCTTCTCATAAAGTTTCTATGGTTTATTCATCACTCTTGATTCTGGGTTCTTTGCTGAAGAAGGATTCTGCCTTGGCCAATGGTGCTCGTATTTTAGTCTGAAAAACAGATTACTGTATAATATAGTAAACAAACATACACATAATTAATAAATTTTAATTAAAATATTCCCCAGGCTTTTAATGACCTAAACACCTGTATTTGCATGTCAATTAATTTACATACCCAATTTTTTTTCTCACTAAATAGTATCCACCCAATGACACTCATATCCTGAAGATAAGAATTTACATATGGATGCATCTTGAAATGTACTATAATTCCAGGAACCTAATTATGAACAGTACTTTCTTAGATAAATATCTTCTAAAAAGTATTACTTGCCCCCTTGGAAACTAAATAGGAAAACTATTTGTGCATATTTATAAAACCTGTTCAATTACTTAATAAAATGGAAAAAATAGATAGCTGTAAAGTCATACTCACTGACAGTTACTGCAGTGGGTTAACACAAGCCAGACGTGAAAGAGAAGAGATAAAATTAGGTTAGTAAAGTCTGTCTCCATTGGAATAAGCTCTCTAGCTGTTTCTTTTAAACCAGCCATATATCAGTTTGTATAACCTTCCCTTAAAGCTAAGCAACTATTGTTTACTTGAAGCCTGTGAAGTACAATCTAAACCAAAATACATATACTTTTAGTTATATAAATTATAAATATCAGAAAAAATAATGTGTATTTCACACACCCTGTCTAACTATGAAAATTAAATCAGTTGAAGGAAGAGGGATTAATCTTGTCTATCCTCAGTTGAGTGAGAGCCAACAAGAAAGATCTGTACAGTATAAACAAACTTGTAAATTAAATAACATAAAAATAAGTATAAATCCTGAAATCATAATACAAGAGCAATGCTGAAACTAATTAGACCCACAGTGTTTCCAAAGCTCAGTTACATGCAAATTCTTAACCAAATTGAGTACATATACAATTACATATATATATACCTCAATCAATGGGAACATACTGAAAACTATTTCATACAGATTTCAGACATAGAAATTATTATAATAAAAAAAAGCTAAACCTACAAGGGTCATACAGCACAGCAGGGCAGGTAAGGGTGCAGGGGTACTGGGCAGGGAGAGGGATTACTATTAGGTCATAGAGTGCAGCAGGGGTAGAGGGTAGCAAGAGACTGAGGTAGAAAGGGCTGTGAGGAGTGCTAGAGGCATCATCATCATCAGAGCTTGTGGAGTAAATCAGTTGCTGTCAAAAAGTCAATGAGTGTGTCTGGGTTAAAGGAGGGTCCATCAGCAAGAAGGGAAGGTAAAGTAAGGGCAGTAGAGCGGTGACGACGACGGAGGTAAATTCTGCATGCTCGTTGAGAGAATGGACAGTCCAACAGAATATGGCTAACAGAAACTGGAACCTGACAATTCTCACAGAGTGGAATAGGGCACCTCTCCATGAGATACCCTTGAGTAAGACTAGCGTGGCCGATGCGAAGACGGGAAAGAGTAGTCTCCCAACCTCGACACTGATGACAAGATGATGGCCAGACACCTACACTTGGTTTAACTTTTAAAACTGTCCAAACATAGATCTACATTCACGTGCGGGGGGCTCCGAATGTACATCTACGTTTCTTTTACATGCTTTCAAATGGGGAAAATAAAGGTTGGAACGCTACGCACGTGAACGTAGATCTATGTTTGGACAGTTAAGGGTTAATAGAATGTAATTTGTTATGTAGCAGATCAGACCAATGTTGTTGCCAACAGGTGTGGAGGTAGGTAGCAATAACAGCAAAATATAGTCTGTGAATAGAACACCTCTATATGAAACTGGGAGGTCATGTACTGCTGACCACACAGCAATGTCTGCCTGTTCATTGCCCTGTACATCAACATGACCGGGGACCCAACAAAATACAATATCTTTGTGCTTGCTAGAGATACGGTATAACCAAAGTTGGATACAAAGAACCTGGGGATGAGATGTATCAAATTTTCTTATAGCCTGTAAAGCACTAAGGGAGTCTGAAACAACCACAAATGGTGACACAGGCATAGATGCAATATAGATAAGTGCTATGACAAGAGCGAATGTAGGCAAAGAGAAAAGGACAGAGTAAACAGGGGCGACAAACAAATAAAGAATGTCTACTAACATCAATGACTATCCTATATATGGAAGGATTGTGGAGGTCATGAGAGCGAACATAATAGCGAAGGCAACGAGCGATCGGTCAAGGATGGAATATCTGCCTCTTCATAAAAGCTCTCAACCAGTGAAGAGCGAAAAGCAGAGGCATCAATGTAATAAGTGGTGATGGGTGGGATTAAGGCTAGAAAGAGTTGCAGGAGAGGCTGCTGAACATATCTAGTCGTCAAAATCGAGTTTCGATAAAATCAGGGCTGAATGTAGTCAAAGGAGAGTTCTATGATCAGCCCCCCATGAAAGATGAGCGAGGGTTTTAAGCAGGCTCAGCCAGCTATGACAAGTTGCCTTCAGAGAGGTAATGTGGGGTTTCTAGGATAACTGACAGTCAAACAGAAGGCCTAGAAACCTGACCGTATCATGTTCTGGGATATGCGAGTCATATAGATACAATGGATGATCAGAGATGACAGAACGTCTAGTGAAAGTAATTAGGCGAGGTTTAGTACTAGAAAATTTAAATCCAATTGGAAACACGGTTGACCGCATTCTGGAGAGAAACTGCAATGAGGTGACAGTCAATGCCTGCTCAAGCTATAGCAAAGTCATCAACATACAGTGATGAGCAAATATTAGATGGAAGAGTAGATGCCAGATCATTTTGTAGCAAGGGGAAAAAGTGTTGTGCTCAGAACACATCCCTGGGGGACACCAGCTTGGAAATCCAGGGAAAGCATATTATTAACCTGAGCACAGAAATATCTCTCAGTTGAGAAGTTCTTAAGGAAAAATGGTAGACTGTCTTGGATGCCTAAGGAGTGGGCCTGGGCCAAGATGTTATACCTCCAAGTTGTGTCATATGCCTTCTCAAGGTCAAAAAAGACAACAACAACAGAATGGTTATTAGCAAAGGCATTACGAACATACGTATCCGAGCGTAGTAATAGGTCAACAGTAGAAAGGCCCTTACAAAAGCCATATTGACTAGTGGAGAGATTATAGTGTCCCTCTAAATACCACATCAAACGTCTATTTACCAGACGTTCCATCACCTTGCAAACTGTACTGGTAAGAGCAATGGGATGATAATGAGGCATCATGTCCCGTGGTACCCAGTTTGCAGAAAGGGAGAACAATGGTAGATTTCCACAGCTGGGGAAGAACTTGTGACCAAATAAGACTAAAGAGTCAAAAGAGGACAGCAAGAGCTGGCTGCTGCAAACTCTGTAGCATATGAATATGAATGCCGTTAGGCCCAGCTGCCAATGATTGGCAAGCGGAGAGCATTTCCTCCAGTTCCAGAAGTGTAAAATGCACATAAGACTCTTCTCTGATAGAAGAAAAGTTTAAGGGCTCTAACTCTCTAGCAGACTTGGAGGAAAGAAACGAGGGGCATAGATGGAGCCCCTGAGAGATACAGACAAGATGATTCCCAATTTTGAGGGTAATGTCAAGAGGGTTTGCTATAGCAACACCGGAAACCAGAAGAATGGGAGCCGGGTCAGGAGAGTATTTACCACTCAGTTTCCATACTTTTTTCCAGACTGCACTCAGAGGAAGCCAAAGTGATGGCAGAAACATAATCCCACCAGCAAGTGCATTTAGCATCATGGATGACACAGTGGGGTGACTGCTCTCTTCTGCTTAAAATCAAGGAGTTGCTCTGTGGTTCTACAGTACCGGTACCCACCCCATGCAGTGTGTTTCAAGTAGATTGCCCGAGCACAAGCAGGAAACTACCAAGGCACACACCTCTGAGAATGCCTGCCCGAGGTTTGGGGCATAGAATGTGAAGCTGCAGTTAAAACTGAGGTCGAGATGAGGTGTAAAAGCTCATCAATGAAGGACGAAGAAGGATCCTCACTAAAAGCAGTTTGACATGAATAAAGGTCCCAATTCGCTCAAATTGCTGGCGTGGGCTACAAGGAGGCGGTGAATACTAGGGAAAAGTAAGGATGATTGGAAAATGATTGCTGTCATGCAAGTCTGGGAGGACAGACCGGGTAAAGTCTAGTATAGTTGAGGAAGAGCAAATCGAGTGATCGACGCGAGAGAACGAGTACGAAGATCAAAATGGGTGGGAGTACCCATATTTAAAACACGGAGGGGAAGAGAAGCGAGAAAAGCCTCCAACTGAATGCCACGCGAGTCACAGTGAGACCCCCCCCAGAGGAAACAGTGAGCATTAAAATCGCCAAGTAACAGAAGTGGTGGCGGTAGAGAAGAAACCAGAAATGCAACATCTGGGATAGATAATAATATGTAATAATAATAATAATATCTTTATTTCTACAAGTACATGTACACCTACCATCCGACTTACGGCCAAGCTTGGTTCCGACCAACCGGTCATAAGTCAAAATGGACGTGAGTCAAACCTTTGAAAACTGCCGACATACTGAGTAGGGCATAATGTCAAACATTTCCTATATAAACTACCTACACAGTACTGTAATGTAATGTACAATCATTATTTCATCCTTTTTACCATAATTTACTTCTATTGTTATATTTTACTTATGTACTGTATATAATGTATACATGGTAGTGAACTGTATTGTAAATTTTACATCACATACAGTATCATATGTCACTGTTATCTTTATGTACTGTCGACACAGTGGAATGGGAGAATACCACTGGTAGTGTCATCCTGCCAGAATGTAGTATAACTTATACCCTAAGTAAAGAGAAACAACTCTGGAACATGTGTAATACGTATCCGGCTGGCTGGCCGGGTGGGTGGGTGGTTGGTTGGCTGACTGACTGACTGAATGTGGCTGTCTGTCTCTCTGTATCTCTCTCTCTCTCTCTCTCTCTCTCTCTCTCTCTCTCTCTCTCTCACAAGTGCACGTAAGTGAAGTTACCATACACAGTATAAATTACCTAGGATAACCCAAAAAATCCAGACAAAGTGCTATACAGTGGATCTGTGC